TTGGAAGTAAAGACAGGTCCTATGCAAAGATCTCTGATGCAGATCTCGACGCTTGTCCGGCTCTCTGCCCTTTTCCGCTGCAAACAGACAAGAACGGATGCAACGGATATCACTCTCAGGCTCGGCCAACGACTGTTTTGATTTAGCTCTCGAGGCTCCCACGAGAGCTTCCGGCCATTGATGTATGTTCTGGCCTTCTTCCATGCTGTGGTCCAGGAGACTTGTATGGCTTGTGGTCCAGACTGTGCTTCGGTCGAACAGGGGCAGATACACATCTGTCTAATGAGGACCGTCGAAAGTTTGGGCGGATTGGATGGAATGTTGCATACGACTTCAATGAGTCAGACTTCAAGGCCGCAACATTGGTCTTGGTTCGATATGCAATTTAACAGGACCGATCACACTTGTATCCAAGCCCACAAGGCTTCCTCTGGCAAATTCAAACCTCCGAAAGGTTTCGGCACAACTGCTGAACCTGTACTTGCAGAAGAGCCACGACAAGGGAGAGGTTCTCATAGCATAGATTGCCAAAGACCAATTAATGATTTCTGTGTGACATTTGTAGGTCCTGCCGTGGGAGACACTCCGCTACCTCATTGGCGAAGCCATGTGCCATTCCAAAGCCATGTTTCCTTTCGCAAACAACGGTCGACTCACGGAGGTACGGTGGTCGAGTCACAGACAATTACGACAGGCGCTCCGATGCACACAGGCGCTCCTATCCAGCAAGCTTTTGGCTCTCTGAGGCGTGTGCTTACAACATACTTGGAAGAGTACATGGGTGACTTTCTTTTTGCACGGAGCTTAATGACATGTCTTCCAGCACTTTCCTTGGTGAGCATGTTGAGTTTTCCTGTCTCATTTTGGTTGCGCTGCGAGATTTTCGATGAATTCTGTTCGCCGAGGATGAAAATGTGAAGTTCTACTTTAGCCGTTCGGGCTTTGACTACGATTGTCCCTTGCAGGTGAGACTTAGCAACTCTCGTTGCAGCAACTCCTTTCAATCAAACCAAACATGATTTTATATGTTTACCGCTACTAGTAACAATTGGCATCGCCACTAGTAACAAGGGCATACTACTAGTAGCTAGAAGCTACTAGGAGGACAGGGCATCGCTACTAGGAGTCCTGGCCTTACTACTAGGAGCAAGAAGCTACTAGGAGCAAGGACGCTACTTATGGACCACTTCGACTCGTGCAGGGGGGCGTTTCGTCTTACCAGCAAGTCATTTTAACGCTTCCCATCAATCAGCCTGGGCCTTACAATTTGGCCTAGCTAAGATGGAGAATCGTGGAAGTGGCAAAGCTGCTTCCAAATCAGGTCGCCATCTGTTTTTGGCCTGCATCCAAATGCAGAAATCAACTACTTCATGAACTCTGCAAAGGACGGCTGCCTGAGAGGAAAGCATGTTGGGCAATCGAGTGATCCTTGCTTCAGGAGATCTACTCAGGGTTGATGTCTATGCAGACTGGCGGAGGGCCAGACTCTGGTGGAATGAGCCGCGACGAGTCCTTTCCCCAAACATCATGTGAAGCGGAGCTTGCGATGAGTCCTTGAAGCCACAAGCCCAGGTTGATCAACAAGACGGCCACAGATATTCAAGACAAAATCCCAAAGGATGAGCTGAAATTCTTGAAGGACTTGTCCGACAGTGTTCCAGAAAATCAGTGGCGGAGGCCATCGCTAGCAGGTTGGAGGCCGTCGCTAGTAGGTTGGAGGCCATCGCTACTAGGGTGGAGGCCATTGCTATTAGTGTAGGTTCCTTGTGCTATTAGGGTGCAAAGGGTTGTAGTTGTTGCACTGCAGTGCAACGATATTGGAGGACACAGTCCCATCGCCGCTGGAAGTGGTTCTGATGCAGGCCAGCGAGAAAAGCGAGCAAGGACTAAAGGTTACACTCACGTCCAAGATGGCTACCCTTGACCTTGTAATTATTGGTGTTCAAATTGTTGGGATATTGGGGTACTATGCTACTACATCCAATCGGAGGAAGCGTTGAGAGTTGTGTGTGATTCTGGAGAGCACTGAATTTTTATAGCATGACCAATATAGTCTTAGCAAATGGAAGCAAATGGATGCAAATGGAGAAGCTGCATGGTCCCGCTAGTGAGACAGACATTGTAGGGAGAGTCAGCGTGTTTGATTATGTTTTAGATATTAGAAGCAAGGACGCTACTAGTGGCTCCTGGCCTTACTACTAGGAGCAAGGACGCTAGGGGCAAAGGGCATCGCTACTAGGAGCAAAGGACGCTACTACGGGCGCTCCTCTTTGCCTCAGGAGATCGAGCGATATGAAGCTCTTGTAAAGCGCATGGTGGCGAACCTTGCGGTGCGCCAGCTTTGATTGTGCAGAATTTGAAAAGAGAAAGTGCATTGTATAACGTTGGCAGGATTTGAAGCGTGCAATCAAGGGTGAGATTGGCATGAGCCAGGCCGCCACTCTTAGTAGTATTTTCCAGTTTTTCTAGAGTAGCTTCACATCCGACAACATTGTATTCTTGAGCGATCATTCCGCGAGTGAACACGATCATTTACTTTTACCAAAGCCACATCAACGACGATCTCCGAGATGGGAATTCTTCAAACCGTTGCATCCTGACCTTTGCTCAGGCCCTTGACACACTAGGCGGCTCGATGTTCAATGGGCTTGCGGCCAAGATATCTCTCGAGCTGAGGGTGCAGCATGTGCTTCCTAGTTCTTTAGACAACCCCGGCCATTGATGACACATACAATAATGATGAAATTGTGAAGCCACGAAAGCTAGCTGTTGCTAGCTGGAGTCTGTCTTGCTTTAAGGAGGGTGGGAACCCAGGACCTGAGTGCTAACACCTGATATATCAGGAGTATACCCCCCCTATCAGGAGTATACCCCCCCCCCCTTTTGTCGCTGCTGCTGCTCCTCTGCCCTCGGCCATGACATGTTGCGATTCAAAAGAGCCCCAGCGTTGTTTCTAGCTTTCGCCCCCCCCTGGGCCACAAGTGGAAGTTGCGAGCATGGGAAAGAAACAGCTTTGTAATCAACAGCTGCTGTCCTTTGCTTTGGCGGCTTTTCTCAGCTTGTTTTGTTCATATTGCTTTGGTGCGATGTAGCCTGACATCTTCAGGCTGGTTCCCTCCGCGTGGACAAAGATAGCCCCACAAACAGAGAAGCCGCTGGGCAGCTGGGTGCGGTGTCCAAGCTCGTCACTGCGTTTTTGGTAGGAAGGGAAAACTGAAAAAAAGAACAGGTGCTTGGGCCTGCTTGGGCCTCTTTCATAAGGATGCCCTTTAAAGGGGCCCAGGCACTTGTTTCTAATAGCTTCTTGTTTCTACTAGTAAGGCACCTGTTACTAGTAGCGTGGCACTTGTTACTACTAGCACTTGTCAATCTCGTCAGACTCGCTGCATCGACTTAGATGGATCACTTTGTGCGCCGATACAAGCAGTACTCGGACAGTGGGGGAGGGCTGTGGTGGAAGAGCAGACACACCGCTGGAGCTGCTTTGGTTCACCCTCACATTGCACGAATCATATCGTTGGCCAACATGATATCACATAGATCTTGTGACACCGAGACGAACTTTTGAATCAATGCCTTCACGTTTCCAAGTCTGCTGACTAGCTTGTTTCCTTTTGAGGAGTGGGCTGAGAAGGGAGATCCGGCAGTCTTCTGGTTGAGTGGTTTCCACATCCCTGAGAGTTTGCTCAGTGCTCTGGTGCAGGCCCAGATGTTTGCAAGGTTTCATGTGGTGATGTGCACAGTGATGTGCTGGTTTGCTGCGTCCTCCTTGCTTGTGATTGATTTCAAGTTTCCTCAAGTCTTGAGCAGGCATCTTGCAGGCGTCGTGGATGGGCTCTTGACAAATCAACTCTCTACACAAAGGCCAGCGGCAGCCAATGCCATTCAACTGTTGAACGTTCAAAGTAATTATTATTGAATTCTTAATCTTTAAACATTATAAATACATCCTTTTCTTTAGCTTTAGATATTTCATGTCTTTTTATCTCTTTCTTTAGACCTTTTTTCTTAAAAGCGGCCAAAGGCGGCCAATACCATGCAACTGTTGAATGTTCAAATTTGGCGGCGCTGCGGAGGTCACATCTTACACCGAGCGAAGCCAAGTCCCGGAGAAGCTCATGGATGGGACCTATGTTGAGGGTTTGTGCGCCTTCTTTGATAACGCACAGGCCTTCCCGATGCGATCCTTCCTGCAGGTATCTGGAAGGAGCAAGATGGGATATGGAGGTGCTGCTACAGGGTGCTACTTTCGCATCCTCACAAGGGCCATTGCATTTTTGCATCTGCCTCTTGGAAGTGCACAAGTGATATTGCATGACAGGTTGGCTGCCTTGCTCGTCAACTGCCAAAACAGACATGTCCTTAGAGGGAAAATATGGGTCTTCAGATACATCAGACTCATTGAGTCTTAAAAGATGATGGCGCCAAAGTCACAAAGTGACCTTATTGTTTTCTCAGGCTTATTCAGCTGATGCCCTTCATTGAGGTCATTCCAGTAGAGGCTTGAAATGAAGATATATACACAAATGCTCATCAACCTTTGCCTTTTAAACCTTTGCATGTATATTGCAGAAGCACACATGCGCAGAAGAAGTATCTATACCCGAAAACGGTAATCAGGATCCTACAAATCAGCGGATGTTCTTTTTTTAATTGATCTATTCTTCTGGTTTTAGGCCAATCGACTCAAATTGAGGGACGAGCTGCCTACGCCAGTCTGTGAACTTAGAAGGGTTGCAGGGAATTCAGTCTCGCTTTATTTTGTTTCCAAGCACATGGCGGAGTTTTCTCGCGAGACGTTTTGCTTCCTGGACGCCTACAGACTGTCTCAATGTGTTCAAAATGAATGACTCAGTCCAAGCATAGCCGAGCAAGAAAAGAATTACTTAGCGAAGATGTAGCTTTCATTTCATAGAGAACATTCAGATGTGATTTTCACTGCCTTCAGCGTAATCGTTTTCAACCCGAAAATCAATGTCCCAATTCCGGCTTCCGCAGCAATGGAAGATGAGAGTGCACTGCCATCTTCACCAGAGCGAACGGTGGCTGCCTTTGATGTGGAGGCTCACCTTTCTCCACATGTGACTGTCTCTCCTGTTGACACCGGGAGGACGACAACTCAACCCGCGGATGCTATTGGCTATTCATAGATTTGGTGCATGCAGCTGCCTTAGCGCTTCAGCTCCTTCCCATGTCCTTCCCTTCCCTCATGAGAGAGTATCACCCAAGGTCCTTCTGCCATTTCTGCTTCTAACAGAGCATGGGGCGAGGCGGAACACTGGGGCTGTTGTAATAGTCGCACATGAATGAAGTTGATTACCCAGCCAGTGAGAAAGCCAGTAGAGAGACGAGCTTCATTTGTCAGGAGACGCAGCCAAGGATCCCATCCATTCTTCAACAGAATGGTGGAACGCTTGCGTAACGTGCGACCAGTGAGACTTGGCAGCGTTCTCGTTTCTGTCTCGTAGAATCACAGCAGCTCTTAAACAAATTACATACGTACACATACATAGTTCTAAGTGTAGATGCACAACAGCAAGTGCGCAAGCAGGTCAGACGGTTAGACTGCAGTCTGGCTGGCTCCCCTTGACATGCTATATGTGCCATCGGAACCTTCGTACATTAAAAATACTCTTTGATATTATTTGCTCACTCCTGCTGGTACTTAACTACTCATTCAAAATGCATCCACTAGCAGCTGATTTAGCCACATGTAATGGTGATAATATAGTGGGGTCGATGTTTCCTCACGTTCTCATGTTTAGAAGAAGGCATGACAGACTTGAGCAGAAGCAACAGAGAACACCTTGTGAATAAAATAACATCCTGATAAAATAGCAAGGGGGGTCAAGCTCAATTACCCCAAAAACAGAACCCATTAGGACAGGATGTAGCAGTTTTGGTGATGAGGCGATAACGAGTGACCAGTGACACGGAAGTGGTAAGTAAGCTGTAAGCTCAAATGGATCTGGGAGGCTGACCATATTTGTACGCATATGATATATCCATGGTACAATCAGCTTCACAAAGCCGGAAGTGAGGCTGCCACGTGCTCCGAACATTTCCAAGTTCTTTCTGATGTTGCTCCTCTTTGTGCTGCTAATCAACGCGGGAGTGGCCTTTTACTCAATATGACAAATTGATTCAAAGTGGCATGTCTAATGCAGTTCAGTTGAACAGACTGAGGTCTACATGTTTTTGTCCATATCATCTATGACCCAGTTCATGCAGATGGGCGAGGACCGCCGCGATGATTCTCTTCAAGAGACCCCTCTTATGTATGAGTAACCTTCCTTTGTTGATTGGCAGCTTCCTCGAGTCTTGCACAGGGCTTTTCTTCTTTTGAGGCAGCCTATTTTCTTGCGGCTAGCAATCTCATTGTGCGTAAAGACATTGGTTGATAATGGTTGATATTTCTGGACCGCCAGATATGCCTTTGCATCGGAGCAATCCGAGTGAGGATGGCCGGCGCAGAAACATAACATTGAAGCCAAGAATCGGCGAGCATTGGAGCAATGCCACGATGGGCAGCTTGGCTTCATGTGTGTCCAAGATGTCCAGACCTGCAAGATCCTTGACTTGCCCTGTCATATGGGTTTGAAACCTGGCCCAACTGCAAGGGGGAATGGGGACCAAGGCAAATACATTCTGCAGATCATCATTATAAACTACCTTTGCTGGCAAGTTCTGGTGACATGATGCAGAGTCAGTTTACTTTCAATCAACGAGCAATAGAGAATTGGTGAGTGACACAAGGCAAATGTGCATGTTTCCTATTGTTCAGTTTTGCTTGCAACCTCTTGTTGGACACAAGGAACACGACCCGAAGATTGCAAAGATGCGCCTGCAGGATCCTCTACACTTGAACAAACCTGGCCTCATTCATGGACTTAGACACTTTGATTTTCTTAAAACAAAACTAGGCAAGGTAGCTACCCGCCGGTTCTGGTTGCTTTTTCAATACACAGCGTGAGAAGAAGTTGCAGCCCCAAACGGAGGGCACGCCGAGCTCGCAACTCAGGAAAGCTTGCTTCCTGCCTATTCTGCTACCCGTATAAGGACTGATGGACCATGATGGACCTTAGCACTTCTTTAGACAGCAATGTGCTCAACTCTTGATGTGAGGAGATATGGTTGTCCACACAATTTATCGACCACATGCTTTTGACGCTCACGGGCTTTCCATACGCCATTGTGCAGCCCATGCTTGCTTGCATCCACATTGAACTTCGAGACAACGGAATTGACACTTTCCAGAGTTCTGCTCCACAGTTGCATGCTGCCCCCGAAGTACGGGGCAGATAAATCTGCCAGCTGTACAGCTTGGTGAATCACCGATATATATATATATATGTATACAATATATATATAAATATCAAGATATGCTTGGTTTCCTGTAGATGCATGATAATACTGGGCTCTATAGGGGGTGTTGCCGGTTTCCCAAAGCAACCCAGAGGTCAAATGAGTGGCGGAGACGAGGTTTGTCGGGAAATATTAACACTAGAAGCCTAGAGTCTGCAGAGTAAGTTGACAAGTTTTGCAGCTCAAACTTCCACATCAAAAACAGCTGTTCGTGCTTTAACTCATCCGTTCCATAATTTTAAGGAAGGTTGGGGTGAGATTCTTGACCTTGTTGCAGTTGTGATTTCCGATTTTCTTGGAACGCTGACGGTGTTTCAGTTGAATATTTACTGTAAAGCGACTCCGGGGAAATCCTACAATATGAAGATGTGGGAATCAATTATTTGAGACACAGAATTGGTTGAGATGAACCTTACGGTTGTGAGCCAGCACGGGCAGTAATTAATTAAGGGAGCACTGAATGAATAAACAAGCCAGGACGAAGGCATAGAATATAACTCTGGGGTTCCCTATTCTCCGAATCTTTTTTGTTCCATCCCCTTGGCCCGTGCCTCTTCGTACCACACATGAGCTAGAATCATTTGGAAAGTCAGGAACTGCAAGGAGCGCTCCAGGGCGATTGGTTGATGCTGCTCTCTGGTGCACTGGGTCTCTACTCAGGATTGTGCACATGCTTGGCTGTCACATCTAGTCATCGAAAGCCTGTGCATGTCAAGCTTCATGCAGCCCTCAGCTTTGAACGAGAGATTGGTCGAAACTTGAGAACTGGGGAAGTCGCAACAAATTCACTTGTGCAATCTGAGAGCATTTTTTCCAGACCGGTTGTATCGTAAAAGCTGCAACATGTGTTTCAGTGAGCTATGTTTCAGACCCCTTGGTGGAGGCTGGCTGTTTGCTTGTTTCTTGGTCATTTTGTTAACCATATTTTGGCCAGGATTCTTGATGGTTGGGTTTCTCTGTGTGACCTTGGGAAACGGTGTGCTGCCACGTTCTGGATATTCCTATGTATTTCAACTATCAACCTTTGCACTGGCAATCTTGATGGCCTTGGAGTTCCTGGTCCAGCAGCAAGCCCGGCAACGCTATTCGCAGTTCCACCTCAAGGATGGAATGGGCAACACGACACCGGCTTCAAGACAAGGACATAGGACATAACAAAACTGTTTATCAGAGGGCTGGTAGAGTTTGGCAAGTACATGGCAGTTTGACATATTTGGAGCTTGAACTTGGGTTCCAGCCAACATCAGTTAACATTGCTTTGCTTTGTCAGTACACATCGGCCTGAAGCAGGCGGATGTGGGCGTCATTTGGTACTACAATGCAACCCGTGTGTTCATGTCTGCATCCCAGCAACTCCTCCTCAATTGAGCACATTGAGCCTGTTCAATTTGTGTTGCAAAGTTTTGAGATACTAGCACGTGCTCCATAGTTTGAATTGCTTGGCGCTTCTGCATGCCGGTGTTGAGCACCTTAACACTTTTGATTACTGTAACTCAATGTTGAGAAAATGAACCTGTATGCAGCCGCTTAGTGAACCATCCCCAGGCTGTTCGCAACTCATAGCCTCTGCATGCTTTGTGCTATGCACTTGGGGCATGCGCAGCATTTTCAAAAATGTCCAGACTTACCATGGAGCGTGGCATGCAAAGAGGCTGGCACCACAAGCCAGTAGTAGGTGAAGTAGAAGTCAAGAAGAATTAAGAAGCAATATTTGTGAGAGCTACCTCATGAAATCCAATGGAATTAATTTCTCAAATGTTCTATTCCTTGAGTCTTTAAGCTTCAGTGCCTTGCCAGTTTTTTGTCAGGCTTTAAGTTGGTGTCTTTTCATGGTAATCGTGACTTCCGCGGGATATTGTGAACGCGTTGGGCATCTTTGGCCTCTTTGTGAATCCGAGAAGTCTCACGGCGCAATGCCAAACGCTTGGAACTTGGGACTGTAAACGACGCTTTGGTTGAACGATGGGATGAACAAACATGTCTTTTGTTCCACAGTCAAGGTTCATGATTGGTGCAATCTGGGAATGCAGCCTCTTTGGACTCCACATTGTCCTTGGCATTACTTTTCTGGCCTGTGGACTGCAGCACTCAACAGACTCTTGGTATGCATAGAGAAGTCTACTTATACACTGTTCATCATCGCAACATTAGAATCATGCGGCTCAGGGATTGATAATATCAATATTGTTTGGGGTATCCGATATCAATCTACTGTAGCACTATTTTGTAGTTGCAATGACATGCAATAACAATCGTATCATCATTCTCTCCAAGATGTCAACAGCCTGTTGGCCGAGAGGCACTGCATGCTGCAAAAGCTTCTCTGTGTTGTTGGTTGACATGAGTATAGCCGTTGACAATGGCTAATGGCTTGGAACGTTCCTATCATCCTCACGTCAAGATGACCATGCCTTTTTCTCTTGGCAAGCTACTTGACAAGCTACTTGCAGAGCTTTACAGGAAGCCCTTCTGCTTGGTTTCCACTTGGGACATGGTGCAAAGTGCACCACTATTGGGCTTGAACACAGTTCTTGCCATATCCTTTGTCATGATATGATTATGTTAGAACGAGCCGTACAAGTTTCGATCGACTTTGTGCCACGTCAGTCGCCAAAACTGGACCTGAGGAAGTCATACAACTGGCAACACATGCAGACTGGAAACTGGTGCCTGCTGCCATGAAGCCAGACACAAGAAGACCGGACGAGAAAAGGGTGAAGAGATCTTAGAGGTCTGTAGAGGTCTAGGACTCGTCTGGGAACATATTGTTTTTTTCCCCAAACAGTTTACTGTTGGGGTTCTATCTTAGAAAGAACAGAGCTGGCCACACTCACTGGCCGCGCCCCTGATCTCTGTGGCTGGGCCCTCTGGCTGGGCTCTGTGGCTGGGCCTTGTCCTCCTCTTG